AGTGCCTCGTTGTTAAGATGAACAGAAGAATGAATAATATTCTGACTCAGGCTTAATCAGGGATTCTATCATAGGTGAAGGGAATGCTTGGTAGTGTGCCCCAGATATGCTTTTAAACTTTACATTTTGCGTTATAGCTGCACTTATCTGACAGTCTTGCAATTTTAAGCTTCAAAATACCGCACAGCACTTTGTAGAACAGCATACAGGAGCTTTTTCAGATCCAGTGGTCTATTAAGAAAATTACAATATATGGTCAGTGTCTTCAGAAAATGTGAGCTTCTGAAAAACTAAAAAAAAATTGTGACAGACTGATTCAGCTCACAAGGGTAGCATCATAGACTGATGCACAAAAGTCTGATGTTTAACAGCAAAATGAATCTTCTTATTCTGTAAAGACGGTTAAATAATAGCAACCCAGGTTCCAACTTAATATGAACTACAGTACTGACAAGACAAGTGGGTGTAAAATCACAAATTTACAATGTCACTTTGCACTCATCCATCCATCCTAGATTTTTACTATTTTCACAATATTGGGCTAAGAAACCACCGAACACATAATGTTGAATATCCTCCTGTCGTGAAGCTGCACTTGCACATGCTCAGGAGACAAAGTTAGGCAGCTTCAGCGACATCTACATCCTGACACCCTTGCAGTTTCTGTGCCAATGGGATTAGACAAACTACAAATGAAGCTGTATTGCCTTTCTCACATCCAAATAACACTCTGCCCAGTCACCACTGCTGAGGTATGTTCTGAAATGATACCACAGATGTTAATCAGTTTTGGTGTGCCGCCAGAGCTTTGCCGGCATTGTCCCTCAGAAAGCTGGTGCTTAGCTCAGCACAGTGCAGATCTGTAAAAGGGGTTTTACCTTCTGCTTTGTGGGTAAAAGCATCGTAAAAGTTGTCTGTAAGCAGGCTTGTCCAAGTGCAAAATGATCATGTATCGATACATCAGTTTATCTTTATGATTGCGGTCCTCATTTTGCTCAGAATTGTACTTATAGTTTTTTTCAATTGCAGTATTTTTCTGATGATAATTTAATTTCTCATCATTGTTAACCTTCATCCTCCTCAACATTCAGTCATTTGTCCACTTCATGGAAGCAGTTCCTCATTTCTGCAGACAAATTTCAAATCCTATTGGACATGCAACATTCTCTTCCGTAAACATATCTGCTGTTTTGTAACATTTTCATTTGTTTGTGTCACATGACTCAAAATTAGCTATACATATGACGGCTAAATAGTCATTCCCAATAAAAACAATACAGAAAACGTGTTTATTATTGGAATGGGTCAAGTTTAAAGCCAGATCTCAATCCAGTTGAGAATCTGTGGTCAGACTTGAAGATTGTTGTTCTCCAGTGGGAACCATATAACTTGAGGGAGCTACTCAAATATCTGCAACTAGTTACTACGCATCTCTGATTACAACCGAAGAGAGTAACTGTTCAGGAGTTGCCAAGAGATGAATTATGGCTGGGACGTGTTGGATGTCATCCAGGACGGCTCCGGTTTGTGCAGGTGGTCAAAAGGAGCAGCAGAAAAGCATTTTGTCAGATACCATCAGCCAGGTTTACAGCTAGCATCTTTTGAGGTGATGAGCCTGATTGCATATTCATTTCCACTTATGTAATAAACAGAGCATTAGCATATTACCGAGCAGGTCAGCATCAACAGCAGCCATCTCAGTGAGAGCATTTGAAGTGTTTTTGTATATTTTGAGCTGCGGTTTGGACGTACTCAAAAGGTATCACCCATTGCAGAAAGTGAAATGGTTTTATAATACATCCGTTATGTATTATGCTGGCTTATAGTGCTACAAACAGATGAAATGAAAATGATGCAATGCAGACTTTATAATCTATAGATCTTTATTTAATTTTGCAGATAACATATATAGCAATCATGCTTTTTCATAGAACACCATCTAAACACATTTATTATATTTTTTTACATATAATATTTTACATTAGGCCCATATAACAGCTAAAAATATACAAAACAATATTCCCTGACTAGACATTTCTATAACATTTTTATTAGTATTATTATTATTATCTCTTTATTATTACTCTATTCTGTTATTGTTGTCATCATTTTTACAGTGGAGAGAGATATGTGCCTTAGTTTCTGAGACAGTATTATTGCAGAAAACAGCAAAAAAATGTCACATTTTTTCCATTCAACATTTAGACAGAATAAAGAAAAACTCAGCGTATACGGACATTTACAGATACATGTATTACACAATCCAGTTTACAACATCATTCAAGAGAGAAACTGCGGTGTGGTAACTTTATACAAAATTCATGGAACCCTTGCATCATTGCACATTTTGATTCATATATCTTAAAAAAAAAAAGTCAGTACAGTTTTTAGGAACGGGAATGATTCAGCCTGATACCTGCTGTATGTAGCTGCCATAATAGCATATTGTCTTGATCCTTCTTTGTCACCTAGTTAGTAGTTTGTCATAAAGTTAAAACCCATGGTTGCTTTTATACTGGAATCCTTCAGAATCAAGTATTATTAGATATGCAACATTTCTCTTTGCTTTATAGTTTTAGTGTTGTTGGCATGTGTGGCATGTGCTTGTGTGTTTTTATGCTAACAGTATTTAGTCCTATGATTGATAAAAACCTCCTCACTCTGAGAATTAATGAATCATATACACCTTATTCCAGGACCAATACAGAATAGGCATAGGTTACTGGTATCAAGGTACATCAACGTTCGCATTACTTTTCTCTCATTGTCTTCCAACTGGTTTAAAAGTCCTTTTAATGAGATGCTTGAGAAAGTGCCACAATGAAAGTGCTTGACAGTGACCTGAAAGAAAGCTACAACAATTTTTCCTAAAGACAAATCCAATTGTTTGGAAATATTGCTGGCTGAACAAAACATAGAGTGATGAGGAAACTTTGTACTTGTACTGTCTTTTACCTTTGGGCTACTTATAGTTGTATTCAGAGGAAATTTTAGCATTTGTCTGGTAAAACACCCAATTTATGGATAAATTCAAAACGCTGTGGGATTTGCTAATTGATACTCTCATTAACTAGGATAACTTCTGCTAGCAATAAAGACTAATAATATTGTTTTGTATTTCTCTACTACAACCTGGAGATTTTGTTTTCCGAAGAGATTTTCATAGTAATTTTTTCCCCCACAACTTATTTCTAGTCATTTAATTTGATTTGCTTGTTAGCCATACAAAAGTGTGGAGAAACTTTCCCTATCTGTTCATTTTTCCAGCTACATATTTCATGTGAAATTTCCGAATGAAAATGAAACATTTATAAACCCCGTCCTTCAACCAATCGAGCGGTACCAATAGAAAATATGGATAATTATTTCTTTTTGCTTGTTAATGTGAGTCTTGAAGATGTCACACACCAGAGTTAAAATGCCCATGTCTTGTAGTAGAACTGTTTTAGAAAATCTGTCAAGATGGTATTTATGAAGCAGTTCATGTTATAATAGGGAATCACTGATATTATATTTAAAATTTAATCAATATCTTACATTAGTTTGGTGGCTGCAGAAATAGTCACTACTTGTCTATTTAAGAAAGTAATTGGATCATGTGATCAGTTTTTGTTTCAAATATTTGTGTAAATACAGCAATGCCGTGCTATTTTCACCCAGACTTGTCATATCATGTCTATTACAGGTAATAAGAACAAGAAAGCACAAAGCTGAGATTAGGTTTTAAATTTTAGCCCACAGCATCTTATCACAAAGACTTTGTACGATTTGCATCTTCATGACTTTTTGGACAGAAAAACTTTTGGGGTTTCGATGACTACATTTTTCTAGATAAAGTAATAATTGTTTCAGTGAATCAAGTTGGTGCCTAAAACAGTTTGGTCATATCTACATTTGTTCCTGAGGAGTGGGTTACTTGACAGATATACAAGTAAACAAGAACAGGCAGAACATCGGTAGCTGTCACAGAAATCCACTTTTCTACCGCCAACGCTGGGCACCTGACAAGGCAGCATGCAGCAACTGCTTCACTCAATATGTTATCCCCACTTAACCATCCCTCAGTTACTTAAAAATATGCATTTTTCAAACAATTGCTCTCAAAATGGAACCGTAAAGAGCACAGAGCAACTGTGGGATTTCTACAATGGCTATACCTTTCATATTAGAAGCTTTAGTCCATAGAATAACCTTGTGCTTGTACACTGATGCTGTTTTATTTTTCCTAACTATTGCTTTTCTGCATCAAAAGGGTGCATTATTGGATCCATATTTAGTCTGCAGGTGACACACCTACACAAATTGTTCAAACTATAGCAAGCAATTTGGTCCTTCTCACGTTCACATATAGAAAATAACCTAAAAAAATGACCCTAAACGGAGATTCAGACAACATACAAATTATATGTTCTTTAGAAAACAAATGAAACAGTCATAACAGTCTTGCTAAGTATCCTATATAAGTTATTTTTGCTGTTGTCACAGGTTTCAGTCATGCCAAAAAGAAGTATTCAAAATACCACAAGGTACTTGTGCTTTTCTAATGTAGCCCCCAACAAGAGTAGTAAACATTTCCAAAGAGGTGCAGGATTCTGCAAGGGAGTGATAGTTTGGCTAATATATAATTTACACATACAAACAGATTTGGCCTTACCTGTTGCACATTCCCACATTGTCTTTGCTTGAAATTGATCTATATTAAACTTTTAATCCATAAAACCTTTGCTTTTTTTATTTAACAGCTACACTGCATTCATTTAAAAGTATTTATCTCATTTACAAAATAAAATACATTTTACTCACAATTTTCTTTGTACAGTATTTTGAGATTAGTTGATTATTATAATTTTCATAGTGATATTATTGAATCAGTGAGGGCCTTCAGATTTAAATTATATATCTTCAATATACAGTAGTTCTCTAAGTCACATTTGCTTTTTCTAAGAAGGCTAAACTTTTGCATAATGAAATTCAAAATATCACAACAACTTTGCTGGGTTTTTTTCTTCTTCTTCTTCATCATAAGTTTTATATCTCTGTATTATAAAAATAAAGAAACAGAACAACCCCCTTTAAAATAACCGTGCAATCAAGTTGGTTTCACATGTCCCCAGGAGGTAGGTGAATAAAAGCAGACGTAGAAGTCTAGTGGTTGTTCCCAACCTTGATTACGGTGCAGCGCCGGTCTGGCCATTCAAACAGAGAGGCAGGCAGAGCTTCGTTATTTCTTTTTAGATGTAGGCTTCCTCATTGGCAGGGTTCTGATTCTGGCTTTCTGCCTGCTGATCTGGACCATTTTCCTGAGCCTTCACCAGAACCAGAGGTTTGATCATCATGCGCAGGCGCTGAGAAGAAGATCAGAGGGATAAAAAAACAGTTTCTGCAGATATGATTTATATAATCATATATGTAACAGTGGATATAAAGCCTTCACACTTGATGATTGATTTTACAAAAAAACAATATTTCATCAGATCATAAATCATTAGCCTACATGCTTCTCTTGAAGACTTTTTTGTTTTCTCTTTTGTAAGTACATTTTAATTAATCAGAATTACATCTATGTGTTACGTAATTTCTGTTTGGCTTACAGGTCAGAGTAGTGGTTGAAACAATGACAAAAAGTTCAATGGGGATGTGTTGATTCTTTTCCTACACAGTAAAAAGGTCAATTCACAGCTGCAACCACAAGAAGGATGTCAGTGTCCAAGAAATGTACCAAATTATCAAAAAAACTTGAAGTTTTTCAAGTTGGACTGCACACTTCTCCAGTCATTTTAATGAAGTGTTTGTGAAACCAAGTGTTGCCCTGAAAGCAGAGCAGCATTCAGCTGCCTGATTGCTACAATTACACAATCAGCCATCAGCTGGTACACCACGATCTGACAGCTGCATTTCGCCTCTGATAGCCTCTTTTGCAATGCCTGCAATTATGGTACATTTACTCTTACAGAATCTATAAGCTATAAATGTCACTGGGAGCTGCATTCTGTACATTGTGCAGGAGTAGATATCAAGCAGCCAATAATGTAAATGCTGAGCTAAAAAAGTTTTGTCTGTTATTGATTAGGACAGTCGGATCACTGAAGTAGGACTCCATCACTGCAGATGGTTTTCCAAGAGCTCAGTGGCTGTTGAAACGGAAAAACTGCTTTACATAACTAATCATTTTTCTTTCACTAATCCTTTTATCAGAGTAACACTCTTCATTTCAGTTTATTATTTCTCTATCAAGCATGCTTGTGAGTTTGCTCATTAAAAATCACTGAATCATGGTCCCAGACTTTGGTTTTAATCATCTGAAGAAAATAAGACAAAGTAAAGCTCAGCATTTTTCCCTTTTACAATTGGGTGCCCTTTTGGCTTCATGTCAACAAATTAATTCTTACTGTTGATTCTAGATTAATAGATTCCAGTTTGACTTTGTGGTAACAAATGTGACTGAGTATCCCTCTAAAGATTATTTTTTGTATAAAATCTGGAGAGGTTATTTTGTTGTAATATACCAATGTACAGTGAGCTAAAGTGGGTTTATTAAAAAAAAAAAAAACTATCTTGTACAATCAGTAATCCACTAGAAACTGACAACACCATTTTCTTGGCTGCAGATTTCAGAATTATGCAAATATTCTGGGCCTAATTTGCAGCTTTATTCAAACAGATGCATGGTGCACCGAGTTTAAATAGATAAATTCAAAAGAAGATACATAGGGTGATAACATCTTACCTCTTTGTAGGTGCCTTTGAGCGTCAGGAACATGTAGCCCATGTAGCCTGGGATGAGAATCATGGAGGATAGGGCCATTAACCAACCAACTCCCTGACCCCAGCTAGGGAACACATAATCTCCCATAGTAAGGGGAACCATCTGCACTGCACTGAACAAGAACACTCCCTGGAGAACAGAGGGACAAAAGAATATATCTCAGCATCTTACATTGATCGACATTTTGTCCATTATATCCCATTTTTCCAATAATGCTGACCAGCTTTCGTGTAAAAAGCATCCACAGTGAACATAACGTCTATAGGTTTATCTTTCTCTTAAAACAACAACAACATGGGGACATTTGGGGATGTAGCATGACAGAATGTGTAAAGATTCAAATACATGCAATGGTTAATTGTTAAATACTACAACAGGTAACACTTACAGCCACAATGAGAGGAGTGAAAACAACCCAGCAGGCCTTCCACCACAGACAGGGCCTGTAGCCAATCATTTCCTCAATGTTGTCAAAGAATTTATTCACACCTGCATGTAAAAAATGGAAAAGATAAAAATGTGTTTTTTTTCACAATCTTCATATGACTTTTGAGACTTGAGTCATTTTTACATGCATTATTAAAAAAAAAGCTCACCATAGAACCATGAAATTGAGATGCACTCAAAGAAGACCAGGAAAAGCAGGGACATTCCACTCGCTGAGTAGTAGTCAAAGAGCTTAAACACATACAGTCCACCCTGCAAGTTAAGGATTAAACGAAGATAATGAGACAACTGAAGTAGGAAATTGTAAACACAAACATAAAATGTAGCTGTATTTATGTACAGGACAGTCTCTAACTGGTCTGGAGGAATAATGAAGTGTAAAATCTGAGTTTACACTAATGACTATGGCTGTGGGAAGCAGTGACATATTTATATGGATTATTTCAGTCAGTGTCTTGTAAGAGATCTATTACTGTGGTCATTTATTACAAACAGAATAGCTTGTAAGTTTACATTGCCAAAAGTGGTTAATTTCCTTTTAGAGTCAAGTTCTGTGGGAACAGAGGGATTATTTAACCTCTGAGTTTTATGCATAGCTACAATAATTTCCTGTGGTGAAATATTATTTGTATTTTTTCATGTATTCATTTAAAACACTGTTGTAAGCCTAGGACTCCAGACTCCAATTACCATGGTTCAAGTAGACCATAAACCATAAAAAGACCGTCCAATACTAAAGTCAATATTAAATGACAATGTAACTATTAGGTTTAAAAATGGAAGCTTGAATAAATAAGATAGCAGACTAGTGGGTAACAAAATCACTCTAATCTTACGAGACTGTAAGATTTGTGTAAAAACAATTATCACTATGAATTTCTGCCAAGTAGGACATTAGCATTTCTGAACAAAACCTCTATGTACCTGTCTGAAATTCAAGTAGCAAACACATTCATGAAGCAGTGGTAGATGTACAGTAAAAAGAAAAGAAAAAAATATTCTGAGGCAGTCAAAAACAGGTTGTTGCTACAATTGTTTGGTACCTTTTATTAACCTTTTTTTTTTTTTTTTTTTTTTTAGAAAATTCAGCTTTATGGAAATTGATTACCAAAGATGAAAGCCATCTTGAGGCTGTGAGCTGAAGATTAAAGCAAACAAGCAGCTTTTTATTATTGGAGATACAAAAACAATATTGTCACAGAAGACCTATCCATCCAACCGTTGGTTATCTGAGATCAGGTCAATGGGCTAATAGGTCTGTTGGGAAACCTAGATGTCCACTTTCCCAACAACACTCTCCAGTTCGTTCTGAGGTGTCCCTAGGCATTCCCAGGTCAGAAGGGATGCATCGCCCCTACACCTTTGTGATTCTGCCCTGGGATTCCCCTTCAAAGGAGAGGATACCTAGGAGGCACCTTAACTCACCCTTCTGGTTGACTGTGACCCATACCCTAAACCAAAGTCATCTTTTGAAGGAAGCCCATTTCAATCACTAAAATCTAGGTTGTCTATCTTTTGGTCATAACCCATACCGCATGGTCTGCGTTCCTGGGTCAGTTCTTTCTTCACCACAACAGACCATGGCAACCCATCATCAATGTATGAGCTGCTAATCCTTCCATCCATCTCTTGCTCCATCCCATTATCACTTGTGAACAAGACACCAAGACACTTAAACTAATCCTCTGAAGGCATACACTGATGCCTAAACTGGAGAGAAGTATTCACCTTTTCCTGGATATGATCCATGGTCTCAGACAGGAAATATCATTCTAGCTAATTCAAACTTGGATGCATCAAACTTTAGTGAATGTCTAAAATTTGTTGACATTCACTAAGATCCCAACAGGACCAAAAAGCAAAATGCCAAGATGAAACCCCAGAGATTGCCTAATCAGACACCCTTCTCTCCACAACTATCCTTTCAGATCCTGCCAGTGAACACCACAAACAAGATCAGTGCCAGCCCTGGTTGAGGCCAGCCTGCACTTGAAACAAGCTTAACATAGTGCTGATGGTGCAGACACAGCTCTTGTGTTGATTGAAGGACAACAGTACCCTGTTCTCTGACAGGACCCAATACAAAATGTTTTGGCAGACACAGTCGAATGGCATGTCAAGGTCCATAAAACTCCTCTGGACCAGACAACCAAACTCATCCTAAACCACTTGGTGATTCCAAAAGGGTTAATTTCCAGGTCACTCTTCAACAACCAGGAGAAAAACCAAAATGACACTGGTGAATCAAAGGCTTCTCCCCTTTCTCCAAAGATACTGAAGACATCTGTCATTAATGAAAACATAATAACATGTACATCTTCAGTATGTTGGTTTAAATCTTGGCAACTTGCTGCCTGGGAGCTTTTTAAGTACCAGAGCAAACTCTGCACTGGTGAAGTTTCCCACAAGTCCTTTCATTGTGCCTTTCCTAAATGGATATGATGGCATTGCGAATGAGGCAATCAAATAAGTATTCCTTATACAGTTTGACAATAGCCAGGTCTTCAGTTCACCATTCCAAGGTAACCTAACATGATGGTATTATTCATCTTTCTATTGAAATTGCTAAACAAACAATACTTCAAAAACCTTTCCAAGGCCAAATGAAAGTCATTTTGCAATGCATCTTCAAAATCCTTGAAAACTTAATTTTTCACACTTTTAACCACAAAAATCACACTTCTGCTGCACATCTGCTGTGTCTCAATTTGTTCAGAAATCTTAAGAGTAAAAAAAAATTCCCAAAGGCTTCCCTCCTCAGCTTGATGGTATCTGTCAAAAGCTCCTGTGGTCTCTAAAGTCCATAGTTCATGAAAGCTACATCTGCAATATGGAGATCCTGCGCAAGGCCAGTTCAAAATCCTCAACTTTTCCTGGATTACTTTGAAAAACTCTCCAGAATGAGTTGAGAATGTCCTGAAAAGGATTTACTGCCAGGTATTCTCAGTTCACCCATATCACCTATTTGAGTATCACCAGCAGGTGGTGATCAGCTGACAACAATGCCCTCACTCAAAGATATAACACATAGATATCAATATATAATTACAAAATCAGTCAGACTGACCATCTTGTGTTAAAATCATTGTGCGTGTCCAGTTCCTCGCAAAGAAGTTTAAAAAGAAAACATCACTTGTATTATAAGCAACCCCATTATTATCCACTAAAGCTACCCAGGAGCTCATCAGAATCCCCAAATGGTATCCTTTGCAAAACATCATTCGGAAACTTCAAGAAGACTGAGTCATTTAAACAACTGTTTGGTTCATACACAACGACAACAGTCAGGACCTTCCCTCTTTCAAGTCAAAGACACACAGAGGTAACAGTCTCTCTCTTTCTCTCTCTCTCTCTCTCTCTCTCTCTCTTAGTGGGGAAAACTCTAACACAGAGGCACTCACTGGTGCATTAGCATTGGCACTGCAGCACAGACACCAGCTACAGGAAATTAGAAAAAAAGCAGTTTAAACTGCTATTAGTAGGGCATTAAATAGCAGTTTAATGTCCTACTACACATGGCACTCTTCAAAAGTTAAAGAGGAAAACTGTAGCTTGTCTTTCGGAAATTATAAAATGTACAAGTGGTAATATTTATGTGAACAGCCTTGTATTTCTGTTAGAATCAATCTCATGAAAAATAGAAACATAGAGGAAACTCACGCTTGATACGTCCACATATTTACCTGTGTGATGTTGGACAGGCCAATAATATAGGAAACAAGGCAGACGACAGCGATGAAGATTTCTCTACGCTTTCGGAGGATGTGAGGAAACTCATCAACCAGTGCAGTGATGAAACCTTCCACAGTGCAGAACTGCAAAGTTTGTAGAGCCATTTTAAAACTGTGTCACTTAACACACTAAAATCACTGCAAAGTACAAGGATAAGTAGCAATAACGAAATTCTGTGACATGAGGTCAGAATCATGTAGTGAGTTGGAGCTTTAAAAAACTATTTTAGCTAAATACACCAATAATACGTATTGGAACGGTCCAAAACACAGACCATATTCATTGGATTATTTTCACCTGGCTGTCGATTCCCAGCATCAGCAGCATGGAAAAAAACAATATGGCCCAGAGAGGAGAGACAGGCAGCTGGGTGACAGCTTCGGGATAAGCCAAAAATGCCAGGCCAGGTCCTGATGTAGGATAAGTTACTGTTAGCTCAAATGTACAGTGGGAAATGTATTAAACATATGTTATTGGTATAAATAAAGAAGGATCCTTGCAAATGTTAAGCAAATATAACAATACAGAAAAAAATAAAACAATAAACTATATAAATGGAAGTTATTCTTTTAATAAATATCCCAGTATTTCTTTTTGATTGTAAATTTAGAAAATTCAGTGAAATTTCTTTTCATGTATGCACATTATCTTGTCCTTGTGTCTATTGTTGCATTTTAGGTTTCAACATTGATTGCAATTACCTGAGGCTGCCACATCAGCAATTGGCCTCTTTGTTACATTAGCCATGAATCCCACAATGGAAAAGATGACAAAGCCGGCGAACATACTGGTGAAGGAGTTGATGCAGCAGACAATGATAGAATCTCTGCAGGGGAGAGACACAGCACAGGCCATTGTTACGGCTGTATCAATTCCTTATCACCCCGTCACACATTGGAGAGAGACATTTGAGGGGAAAGGAGGAAGGAGAAGTCGAAAGCCATTTTGCGTCCTGCAGAGCCACAGCATGCAGTTTGTGCTAACCTCTTTTTTTTTTTTAAATACCACTGTGCTTTAATATTGTTCAATATGTGCACTTTTGCCCCTGATCAGTCTTTATTCTTTAAGCTGACTATGGATGAGACATAAAATATATTGTTTAATTGTTAAAAAAAATTATAATAATAATTAACACTCAATCCTGTGTAGTTAATTGCCCTAATAAAAATAAAGAAAGGTTTTTACTGTAGAGTTGACACAAAAGCAACACATTGGAGACATTTGCACAGTTTCTGTAAAAATGCTGTGTGGGTGAGCAGAACTGCATATTAACACCTCATACAAACAGACTCCGTCATTTGAAGGGATAAATGAGCCTGAAAGGCAGCATACTTGTGTCACCTACCTGTAGACGTTATTATTGAAGGGATTGTAGCTGCCAAGAGCAATCAGAGAACCTAATCCCAGACCGTAGGAAAAGAAGATCTGCGTGGCAGCATCGAGCCAAACCTGACACACAGGGATTAGAAAATATTCCAGTCACTGTGCATAAATGAATATCTGTACATTTTGTTTGTGTTGCAGCATTTTTTTTTCAAAATCATTAACTTGAAGGATTGATATTGAAATGTTCATTATTTTGTTTAAACGGTAATAGGAAAAAAAACCCTCCACTCTCATCACGCTGTTCTCACCTCTTCTTCTCAATATTAAAAGTGCTGCATTATCTCAATAGTGACATTCAAACGTGAATTAATTAAACATTGGCCACATATCCTTTGAATTTAAACTGATCAGCAACATTTATGTTTAGCTTTTGATTGCATTGTATTGTGTGCATTGGTATTGTGTGCATTGATCTGTATCCATTGTGGTTTTACCAAAATGCAAACGTCATAGTCAAATAGCTGGGATTGCACGTGACAAAGCAACACACATTTGTGGCAACACTAAGTAAGACTCTTGTTTTTTACTTTCTTGCCATTTTTTTTTTTTTCAAAATTTAGAGCACAAAAAATGTTCTGTCATAAATTTTTTCCACTTAAACTGAGAATCATAGAGAAGTTAATGCAGTCTTATTGAGTTTGGTAACTTCTGAAGTTAGCTGTTTGAACTTTTTTAGAGGAACCAGTGCAAAGGGAAAGGATATGAAGGCATGTTACTCTTTTCATGTTTTTTTTTATTTAGAAAACCATACATCATTTTCCTTCTACATCACTTATTATGTTCTACTTTGTGTTGGTCTATCAAAAAAATTCCCATAAAAAATTGCGGTTGTAAGGCGACAAAAATGTCAAAATACTTTGCAAAGCACTATATCTGAAAAAAATTCCATTAACATATCAGCACTTTGAATGTTCTTCCACAAAAACACCTCTCTGTAGTCTACCCACAACTTTGGAAATGTTATGTCAAAAAAGTGAAACTCATCCATTTTCTGGCACAGCTCATCCTCTGGAGCCTCCTGCGCTGCAGTTTATGTCACATAGTTGTATCTTTCTCAACACAAGAAGTCAAAAGGCTCACCTCAGACTCTTTGAGTTTCTGGAAGTCTGGTGTGATGTAGAAGAGAATCCCGTCAATAGCTCCAGGCAGAGTGACGCCACGGCAAAACAGGATGAACAGCATAAAGTAAGGGTATGTTGCCGAGAAGTAGACAACCTGTGAGACACGTCACTGTTAGAGCAATCGCTATATTCTGTGAACTACAACTACATGTTGGATTGAGTATATTCATTCTGCAAAGAAGCTATTTAGCTCAAATTGTCAATTTACTGTGTTACTGTGGCACCATTCCCACAGCACTGCACAGAGTCCCAGTCAGCTCTTCCTCTGAGGCAAATGACCTCAGGATGAGTAGGTTCAGCACACTCCCAGTGCACTTTCACCTTCTTATCTCAACCAATGTTGCGTCTGTGCATTTAACCTAATAAGTCATTAAAATGAAGAGGACACTGACTTTTTTGAAAAATAAGCAAATAATTGCTTGAATTAAAGAGTTTTCTTTTTGTTATTTATTATAAGGTGTACTGTACGCCAATGACAAAAAACTACACCAATAAGCAGTAAAGCAGTTTCTAGAACATATTTCATCAGTGATCCTTGTCTGTTTGTTTAGCCCCTTTGCATACTCACTTTCCCTGTCCAGCTGACCCCCTTCCAGATACAGAAATAGACGAGCACCCATGCGATGGCGAGCGTGATGGCCAGTGGAATCCTGACCTCCCCAGGCTTTTCCAAACCGTCCGTCAGCTGGTGCATGTTACGTCTGCAGCGAAAAAGCAGTGGCCAAACTGTTATGCAGAAAAGTAACATGAATCTCATACATGCACAAATATGCATGCATGCATCTTGGTGTTTAGAGACTTAAATTTCCCCCTGAATCTTTTCAGAAGCCCCAAAATTATTATTATTATTATTATTATTATTATTATTACTTTTTTGTATTTTGTATTGTATTGTTTGCATCTGTTTTGAAGTTACGTTTTTGTTTTTTTTTGTAATTTCTCATAATGTCTTGAAGCAAATTCTCCACTGAAGGATCTGGTTCATAGCACGCAAACTGCTACGTCAGCCTATCTCTGACCCCTAATCTGACCCTTCCTTACCCTCACTGGCAGGCAGTGACCTTATCGCATTTAATCTGTTCACAACATTTCAGACTGTGGCAACTCAGATGTCCAACTTACTCCCAGAACTCCACCACAGCACTGGTGAGGTTTGTCGTGTCCGCGATGGTGTAGTTGGTGTAGCAGCGATCTGTGTTCCAAGCATTGCCACATGTCTTCCATGGCAGGTCCTGAAAATGAGGAGAAGAAAAAAAAAAGCACACATAGAGACGGGGAGAAAGCTCTTTTTTTCCTCAAACCCGCTCCCATCGCCGAGTCCCATTCTCTCAGGCTGTCAAGCAGCCAAGACTGTGATGCTCATTCGGGACATTGAGATTTCATGGTTTTCTCAGTGGAGTGAATGCTTCATCGCAGAATGCATTTATCAATACCTTGTGTGAGGCGCTAATTATGCGGGAAAGGAAGTAATAAAAGTCATACTCTGTTAAAGGGTTGTGCAGCCTTACATAAGAGGCTCTGGCAAGCAGCCTGCCACATGACTAAAGTAAATTACAATGTAAAGATACATTAAAAAGAACGGCTATTCTTTGAATGGCATAAAGGGAGAGGGTGTCATGATTTTACAGAGTGAATATACTCACAGCGGTGAAGGAGTTGTACAGATAGTAAATAGCCCAAGCAATGATCACAATGTAATAGATATTGAGCCAAAAAGACAGAACAGCAGCAGCCAGACCCACACCTGGAACACAAAATACAAGAATAATGTTAACTCTACGTTAAAAAAAAAGTGGAAAAAAAGTATAAAAGTAGTTTGAAAGGTAAGGTTTGACATTATCTGACCTCTATTCAAATCTGTTTATTTAAATTCAGTTCACTAAAATTAATGCAGTTTTGACAAAAAAAGAAAAGCCACCTGAAGACATTTTATAAGACAAACAGATTCAGTTTGTATTCAGAAATATATACTCACTACCAACCAATATAATAAAATCAAACAAAGATTCAATTTCAATTACATGCATTCCAATCGCTTCTTTGTCATAGTACAGTAAAGACAAACTGTTTAGAATATACATTTTCGACATAGGAACATAACAATCACACGTTAATAATGAAGCTCCAACTAATAATAAGTTAAGCCGGTTAGTTATGTATTTTATTACCTTTGAACATCGGGGCCAGCTTCCACACTCCCAGACCTCCAATAGAAGTGTATTGACCGAGAGCCGTCTCCAGAAAGAACAGGGGCATGCCAGCAAATACCAGCGTCAAAAAGTAGGGAATCAAGAAGGCCCCTGGATGAGAGGTGAGAAGCAAAAGTGTGTGAATCATGAAATTAATATTCACTATAATCCAACATGTTACTTGGCAGAGGGAGTATTTGGTTTCAGGCTGCACCCAGAAAAGCGCGCAGATTTTCTCTTATTTCTGCTTGTGCGCAATTACGCACGGCGTTGTTGTGAAGATACACTTAAGATCTCTTTTATTTCAAACTCTCCGGAATCAGACTCTCGATCTTTGGTCGCGTCACCTTTACGTTCCGTTTTGGTGTTTGTTGAAAATAGTGAAATTATTCCTGATTACCTCCGCCGTTTTTCCCACACAAGTAAGGAAATCTCCACACATTTCCCAGTCCGATTGCGTATCCGACACAAGAGAGGAGAAAGTCAAATTTCCCACCCCACGTTTCTCTCTCTGGTATGTCCTTTTTCGTCTTCTGCACCTTCACCACCAGTGTTTTGGGTTTGTCATTTGGCGTGGTGCTGGGCGCGTCGTTCACGGTCTCGGTTAAGACGTGTCCGTCCGAGGCTTTGGTCCCGTTTGTGGCCATAATGACGGTCTGTGTTGGAAGGTCCTGACCAGTGTAGACGTGGTGGTTTCAGCACCAGTCCAGACAGAGCGCGGCGTATCCGTCCTGCACTACAGTAGTCCCCAGAGAAAAGCCGTGGGAAAAGGGATGATTGAGGGTCTGAGAGTGATGAGGTACGGCGGCGAAGCAGAGACCCTGAAAACAAAAATGAACTGGTTAAGATACTTTTTTTTCTTTTCTTTTTTTCACAAAAAGAGAAATTTTTTTTTTTATATAAAAAAAAAAAATATATATATATATATATATATATATATATATATATATATATATATATATATATATATATATATATATATATATATATATATATATATATATATATA